ACCAGGTGATTTCTGGAAGTAGATCACCAGGACTTTCTTCCTAGACCATCTTAGTCTGGAGGTTCTGCTGAATCCTGTTCAGCATCATAGCAAAATACCAATGACAGGCAGGTGGTGGCCGAGTATGAGATGCATTGGTCAGGAATAAACCAATGAAAGGCAATCCAATGAAATCAAGGTAGCTCCCACTACTGGCTAAGGCACTTGACTGCTAACCAGAAGGCTGGAGGTTCAAACCTACCAGCCACTCCTCAAAAGGAAGGCTGGGCAATCTACTTCCATAGTGATATTGCCTTGGAAACCCAAGAAGGGGTCACTATGAGTCGGGTCCGATTTGACAGCACATAACAACAACCACCACCACCCACATGGAAGGTAAGAATTCTACCAATGAAGAGCAAAATTCTTAATTGTAAACTATGGACTTTAGTTTATAATATTGTATCAATACTGGCTCACCAACTGCAACGAATGTACATGAATGTAAAATATTAGTAACAGATGAAATTGTGTATGGGGCGGGGTATATGGGAACTCTGTACTCTGGTCACAATTTCTCTGTAAACCTAAAACTGCTCTGAAAAATAAAGTCTATTAAACACATACATACATCTTTATAATTAGACTAAGCATCTGTCAAGGGCAGGGGAGGATCCATATTATATTCACTTTAATAGTCAAGAGACTAATAAAAATAACTAACATTGAATGCTTTTAAGCAGTAAAGCAGTGTGGTCAGTACTTCACAAGCATCTCAAATTATGAACCTGAAGTTTAGAGAGGTTCCTTAAGATTTTGCCCCAATCTTCTTTCTCCTTCTAAATCTCTTCCTAGGTCAACAATTAAGACTTCAATTACCCCTTCCTGTTGATCCACTCATTTCTAATATCTAACTGCTCACTTGACATCTCCTGTTGTATTATTGTCTAAAAGACACTTTAAACTTAATATATTCCAAATCAACCCTCTCTAAAAAACTCACCTGGTCCTATTTCAGTATTCCATAACTTGATGACACTATCATACAACACAGAAATCATGGTATTATCTCAGCTACCACTCCTATGCACAATCTATTGGTAAATCTTATCTAAGTATTTTTAAAATCTATACATTTCTTCTATTACTGCCATCTTAGTCCAAGATACCCTATCTTTTCACCTAGATAAAAGCAAAAACCTCTACCTCCATTCTGACCTCTCTCAAATTTACTTAAATACATCAAAGTTAGAGATCTTTTAAAAATGTAGATCTGATCATGCTTAAAATCTTTCTATGTCTTCACCTTTCACTAAAGATGTTATTGTTAGGTGTTGTCGAGTCAGCTCCAACTCATACCAACCCTATGTATAACAGAATGAAACACTGCCTGATTGTGTGCCATCCTGACAATCCTTGCTGAGTCCATCAGGTGTCCATTAGACACCCGAGTCCATCGCTGCAGCCACTGTGTTGTTGAGGATCTTTCCCTTTCTTACTGACCCTCCACTTCATCAAGCATGATATCCTTCTCCAGGGAATGGTACATTCTAACATGACCAAAGTTGGTGAGACAAAGTCTGGCCATTCTCAGTTCCAAAGAGCATTCTGGCTGCACTTTGCCCAGGACAGATTTGTTCATTGCTTTGGCAGTCCACGGTACTTTCAGTATTCTTCTCCAACACTACAATTCAAAAGCATCAACTTTTCTTTGGTCTTTCTTATTCCTTGTCCAGCTTTCACAGGGCTACTGAAAATACCAAAGCATGGGTTAGGCACACCTTAGTCTTCAAAGAGATAAGTTTTTTCTTCAGCATTTTAAAGAGGTCTTTTGCAGCAGACTGCCCAGAGCAATATGATATCTGATTTACTAACTGCTGTTTCCATTGGTGTTGATTGTGGAACCAAGTAATACAAAATCTTTGACATCATCAATCTTTTCTCTATTTATCGTGATGCTGCTTATTGGTCCAGATATGAGGATTATTTTTATGTTGAGGTATAAGCCATACTGCAGACTGCAGTCTTTAATCTTCATCAGTAAGTGCTTCAAGTCATCTTCATTTTCAGCAAACAAGGTTCTGTTGTCTGTATATTGCAGGTTGTTTATGAGTCTTCCTCCAACATGGTGCAGCATTTACCAAAGATAAAATTCCTTAATGTAAGGTCCTGTAAGATTTGAACAAGTCCCTGGGAGGCACAAATGGTTTGCACTTGACTACTAAGTTGGCAGTTCAAATCTACTGTGGAAGAAAGGCCTGGTGATCTGGTTCAAAAAAACCCTATGAAGTAGATCTACTCTACAACACATGGGGTTAGCATGAGTCAGAACTGACTCAATGGCAACAAGTTTGGTTTTGGTTAAGATTTGAACCCAACCTACCTCTCTAGCCTCATTTCACACCAGCTTGCCCCACCCCTGTCCACTCCAGTAATATTCACTCCCTCAAACCACCAGTCTTATTAAATCCTTATAAAATGTTCTACCTGGAATCTTCTGTTCCACTGGTGCAACTTACTGCTTGTTCTTTCAGATCTCAGCTCAAATGTCAGTTTTGAGGGAAACTTCCCCTGATAAAGTCAATACCCTCCATTGTAACATGACACTTTTACTATAGTTGAAATTTTACACTTATCTCCATGATTTTTGTGTTTGTCTCATCCACGGAACTACTTTTCCCACTATTGTACCCACAGCACATTGCACACTGGCAGATACAAAGTAAGTGCTCGATCTGTATTTAATGAATGAAATATAAGAGGATAAGTGCATTTCTCAAGGTCATATGGCTAAAAAAAATAGAAAAGCTGTAATCTGAAAGTATAATTTTTGGAGCCTGTGCTCCCACCACAAACCAGTACTGTTGCTTAAACATCTAGCAGTAGGTCCAGTAAAATAATAAGGGCTCAATGTTGTTGGCAGTTGCTGTCAAGTTGGCTCCAACTCATGGAAACTCCGTGTACAAGAGAACAAAATGTTGCCTGGTCCTGCGCCATCTTCACAGTGATTGGTATGCTCTAGTCCACTGTTGTAGCCACTGTGTATTCTGTGTGCCTTCTCACCAAGGGACTTAACTTCCAGCACTATATTGGACAATATTCTGTGGTGAGATAAGGGTTTCACTGACTAAATTTTGGAAGTTGATCACTAGACTCTTCTTCCTAGTCTGTCTTATTAACTAATGAACTAACACATACTGAGTGCTTTTATGTCAGACACTGTGATAGGTACTTCACAGCACCTTAATTCAATGCTCACAATAATTTTCCTAGTCTGTCTTAGTCTGGAAGCTCCACTGACACCTGTCCACCATGAGGGATCCTGCTGGTAGTGAAATACTTGAGCATCACTGAAACATGCAAGCCATCACAGTAAAGCAAACTATTAGATAGCTGATGGAAGTTCTCAAAAAAAAAAAAAAAAAAACTGTTAAAATGAGTAAGTATATGATCAACCCACCAGGCATAACAATGCTTCCCTGGAGACAAAGTATGCAGAGTTCAATCTAAAATGCCAGAAACACATTAGGAACTCAGCTGCCTCTCCTCTCAGTGCCCTTCCACCTGTATAAAAGATGCTTCATGATCCACCCCTGCCTATTCCTCAAGGCTTACTTCCCAACTCTGTTCTCTCAATCCCTTTCTTCCAACTATACATTACATTTACTTGTGATTCCATTAAGTAAGCCCTGCTATCTGCTTAATTCAGAACCAATGTACTTGCTACTCTGCTTTGAATGCCATTCCTTTCTTGCCAAACCAACTTCAAAAAGTCCTGAAAACTTTAGTGATTTTCCCCTCCAACTAGCCATCCATGATGCTGGTCCCTCTACTGAGAAGCATACTTCCACTACCAAACCAAAACCAAAAAGGAGCTCTGGTAGCAGTGGTAGCACAGTGCCTAAGGCATCTGACTGCTAACGAGGATAGTGGTTCAAACTCATCAGCCACTCTGGGGAAGCAATGCTTTAATTCCGTAAAGATTTATTGACTTCGAAACATAATGAGGGTCACTATGAGTGGAAATCATGGCAGTTAGTCATTTACCCCTCCAATTAGCCATCCTAAGGCACTTGATTGCTAACCAGAAGGCTGGCGGTTCAAACCCACCAGCCACTCCTCGGAAGGAAGATGGGGCAATCTACTTCCGTGGTGATACAGAAACCCAAGGAGGGGTCGCTATGAGTCGGGTCCCACTCGACGGCAAACAACATCATTAGCCATCCATGATGCTGATCCCTCTACTGTGTAGCATGCTTTCACTACACATATTTTAATTGCTAAGTCAGACTCCCTTACTAATTATTTAATGACAGAAATTGTATCTTTTGTTTCTTATTCCTACCACCAGTGATTGACCAATACTATGGGCTAAATTCTTGTTGGTTCAATTCCTGAATAAATTCTTGCTGGACATCAAAGGGCTTGTGGCTCTGGAGATATTTGAGCCGGAAATGCAAATCTGGGATAGTAAGGCCTTGTTGCCAATAAGCAGAGACGTGTAGACTAATGGGAGAAGATGAGGCAATCTACTCAAATATCACCTGTTCTAAAACAGCTTCTATAAATGCTCCAGCTGAGGGAGACCCTTTTCTTTTCCTACCTTCTCTTGTATATCCCACCATCTTCACCGCACCGTAATCCTCGCCAGTAGAGATCTCGTTATTTTACAGCAATCTGTGCACAGTCAGTCCTCGAAATAATGCTGAATCTAACAGGAATGACCTCTTCCTAGTCCTCTCGGAGCGTGAGCGGGAGGTCCTGGTACAGGGGCGACCCCAGAAGGAAGTGAAGGACGGAAGAAAGCGTCATTGCTGAGGATGCTGCGCTGTCCTGGAACCTGCCAGGGAACACCCGGCAGCCCCGACCCAGGAGCCTTAGGGCCTGATTCCGGGCAAACTCGGACAGAGCCGCAGTCGGCCCCGGCCTCTCCAGTCTGCCACCAGACTTTGTGTTTGTCTCCCTCACTCCACATCCCAGTCAGCAAGTGTTTCTGCCCCATTTTCCCCAGCGGCTCTCACCTCCGTTCCAGACTCAGCCCTGCGAAAATCACTACACATCGCCTCGAAAGCTCAACTTCCCCGCCACCACTGCCATTTATCGATTTCGACTTGCCCGCAGCCAGTAAGATCGGCCGGGCAGCGAGCATGCGCAATACCCGCCTCGGCGTGGTGCGCTCCGGGTAACGAGCGTGCGCGAGACACTCATCCTCGGGTCCCGGCGCTCCGCATTGAGCTTGCGCACGGCACCCACGCTCGGCCTGGGAGCTCTGAAGAGTAAGCATGCGCACGACACCCGTCGTCGGTCAGGGGCGCTCCAGAAAGAGCGTGCGCACGACACACCCTCAGGCCCCGGGCACTAGATACAGAGAGCTTACGCCCGACACCCACACTTGGGGCCAAGACGGAGAGCGAGCGCTATAGGGTACGTGGGCAGTCGCCCACCTGGGTAGGGTCTGGGTGGAGAAGCTATTCCTACCGAGTCAAGCTGACGTTGGTACCACTATCTCGCTCTCTTCTGTCTCCGGAAAACTAGAGGCATCTACTGCTTTTATTTTCTTTTCTGTCATAAACTTCAATTGGTTTTTATGTAATAAAACTAAAAGCCTGTCTTTTTTCTTTTACTCTCAAAAATGCAGACATGTTTGGAATGAAGAAATAGTGATGGTTGCACAGCAGTGTAAATAAAATTAGTGTACACTTCAAAACGGTTAATTTGGCAAATTTTATGTTATATATATTTTAACACAATTTTTAAAAAGAAAAAATATTTTACCACAGTATTTTTGTCCATTTATGGTCAAAAGCTCTGGAAGGGCTGTGCCTATGATTAATACTTAATTCTTTAAAAAAAGAGAAAAACCATACTAAATTGTTTTGTTGTTGTGTGCCATCCAGTCGGACCGACTCATAGTGACCCCTCCTTGGGTTTCCGAGGCAGTATCACTACAGAAGTAGATTGCCCCATCTTCCTTCCAAGGAGTAGCTGGTGGGTTTGAACCACTAGCCTTCTGATTAGCAGTCAAGTGCCTTAGCCACTATGCTACCAGAGCAATTGTTTAAATACTTAAAAATATACTGAGCCAGTACATTGGGCAATCTACTTCCCTAGTGATGCTGTTGTTGTTATGTGCCGTCCAGTCCGAACGATTCATAGCGACCTCTCTTTGGGTTTCCAAGGTGGTATCACTACGGAAGTAGATTGCCCAACCGTCCTTCCAAGGAGTGGCTGGTGGGTTTGAACTGCCAGTGTTCTGGTTAGCAGTCAAGTGCTTTAGGCACTGCTCTACCAGAGCTCCTACAAGATTATTAATATATGACCAAGGATTGGAATATGTCCTGAATATTCACAGCTGTAGCACCATATACAAAAGACAACTCTTGCTGAGTATCAAAATGGACGGGTTCAAATGTTAACCTCTAAAGAAGATGTTACTGGAGGTAAACACCTAAGCCAGGACTAGCCCAACATGTTCCTCCTATGAATGTGTGGATCTAAATCCTTGAGAGGCAAAAAGTGCCCGTCTCTCTTCCAGTCTTCTCTCATACGAGATGAACAAAAGCAGAGGGGACTTGCAGCTAACAAATCTTCACAACTTTCTTGAGTACTGCAGCAATTCAAACGGTTTGGTTTATTGTATGGTGGGAACTACCCAAGGCTCAAACCCTACAGAGGGCAAAGTTCAGTTTCCATTTCTTTTTTTTCTTTTTCTTTTTTTTCAGTTTCCATTTCTTTCTGGGAAACATCTCCATCCCCAACAGTGCAGAAACTAAAGGACAAACCTCTCATGGAGTTGGAGTACAGCTTGTAACCATTTCTAAGTGCGGTGGCAAGGACAATCACAACCATTTCCCTGTGGCATGCCCTGGGAAACCCAAGGAAGGGTCGCTATGAGTCGGATCGGACTGGATCGCAGTGAGTTTGGGTTTTTTTGGTTCTTTACTTGTAGAAGAATCCTATACTCTCAGCTTTCAAGTATCCAATCATTAAAAAACAAGTGTTGTTTTTAGTACTTACCATGTGGCAGACATTATGCTAACAGAATAAGAGACTGCCTGAATAAAATTTACAACCTATTTAGCCATTTATTGAAATGTGCACTTTTTTCTTTCTTCTCATTAAAATTTTTATTGTGATTTGCAGAGCAAATCATTTACAGTTTACAAAGCAAATTCATTTTCTGTACAGCAGTTCATACACATTTTGTTTTATGACATTGACTGCAATTCCCCACAATGTTAACAGCTCTCTTCCCACTTCCTCCTTGTAGTTACCTCTTTCATGTGTCCTTCCCTCTCATGCACTCCTGCCTTCCCCCAGCAGGCTATCTCTTTGTGTAAACACTGCCCTTCTCTTCTCCCATGATTGATCACTCCAAGGAGTGTATCTACCTGATGTAAATGTTCATCCCAAATGCCTTGTTATTGTTTGGCTGGAAGGCACAGGAGTGAGCTCAGTTCCAGACCTGATGGGTAACTAGGGGCTGTAGTCTCAAGAGTCTCACAAGGCTCTGTCAAAGCAGCAAACCGTTTTTTTTTTTTTTTCCTATGATTATGAGTTTTGTTCCACATTGTTATCCCACTCTGTCCAGGATCTCCTGCACTGATTCCCCTCCAACTGGTTGACAGTGGTAGCCGGGCACCATCTAGCCTTTCTGATCTTACGGTCATATAGACTGAGGTTGGCATGGTCCACTAGTCCCTTAGATGAATTGTTTCCATGCATTTTTGGTTCTCTTCTTTCTTCTTTCCTCTAGATGAAGAGAGACACATTGTTGCATCTAGATTGCCACTGCAACCTTTTAAGATTCTAGTTGCTACTCAGCAAAGTAGGAGGTAGAACAATGTTTTTGTGTAGGATGTTATGCCAATTGAGCTTGATGTCCCCTGCAACCATGGTCCTGAGCCCACATGTCCCAACTCCTTGCTCCCTCAGATAGCTGGCTGTGGCCAAGAAGCTACTGCAACTTTGTCCCTTGTCAGCTCTACTAACCACCCCCCACCCCCGCCCCTGGAAATTCTTACAGCACATACAAATACTTTTGTAGAAACATCGTCTGCCAACCCTAAAAGTGGTCATGGGCACACTTTCCTGTCTAGCCATATCCGATCACGTAGCATGTCTACCCATCTATCCCCCCCCCCCATAGATCAATGCTTGCCATCATTGACAATGCAGTATTGTACACACAAAACCATCCATCCTTGTTGTCTGTACTTCCCATATACCACTCTATGTCTTCCTCTTCCTCAATGCCACTGTGTTGATCACTCACTTTTGGTACATTGCCCTTCACTTCATACAAATCAATACTGTACGTATCTAGCAGCGTTCCCTCCTAAACCCTCCCATTACTGGTAATCAACAAAGAAAATTTCCTTCCATATAAACCTTTCCTTGACTTTTTACTATAGTAAGATAGTACAATATTTATCCTTCTGTGATTGACTTATTTCACTCAGCATAATGTCCTCCAAGTTCATCGCCATTATGCAGTGTTTCACAGATTACGTTATACTTTAGTGTTAGGTAGTATTCCATTGTGTGTATGTACCACAGTTTGGTTGTACATTCTTCTGTTGATGAGCACTTAGATTGTTTCCATCTCTTAGCTATTGTAAATAGTGCTGCAATGAACATGGATATGTATATATCTGTCCTTGTCCTGGCTCTCACTTCTTTAGGATATATACCTAGTAATGGGGTTGCTGGATCAAATGATATTTCTATTTCCAACTTTTTAAGGAATCACCATACTGATTTCTACACTGCTTATATCTTTTTACAATCCCACCAGCAGTGTATGGCAGTCACAATCTCTCTGCATCCTCACCAGCATTTGTTATTTTTGTCTTGTTGAATTTGTTATTAATGGTGGGGCCAGATGGTATCTCATTGTTGTTTTGATTTGCATCTCTTTAATGGTTAATGATCATGATGTCTTTATTTATTTAATGTCTTCATATGTTTGTTGGCCACCTGAATATCTTCTTTGGTGAAATGTTTATTCAAGTCTTCTGCCCAATTTTAATTGCATTGTCCTTTTGTTGCTGAGGTGTTGGAGTTTTCTATAAATTTTAGAGATAAATCCCTTGTCAGTTATGTCCAAAAAAGAAAAAAAAAAAAAAAGAAAACCTCACTGCTGTCAATTCAGATCCGACTCAGTGACCCCTCCTTGGGTTTCCAAGGCAGTATCTCTATGGAGGTAGATTGCCCAGTCTCCCTTCCGAGGAGTGGCTGGTGGGTTTGAACCACCACCCTTCTGGTTAGCAGTCAAATGCCTTAGGCATTACACCACCAGAGCTCCTTCAGGTATGTCGTTGCTGAATATTTTTTCCCAGTCTATAGGTTCTCGTTTGACTCTTTTGGAGAAGTCTTTTGAAGCACAGAAAAATTTTATTTTCAGAACTTTCCATTCATCTAGTTCATCTTCTTCTGTTTGTGCATTTTGGATTATGCTTCAGTCTATTTATGCCAGAAATTAGGGCTCCTAAATTTTCCCCTATTTTTTGCTTGAGAAACTTTATAGTCTTAGGTTTCAAAGTCTTTGATCCATCTAGATTTAGTTTTGTGTATGGTGTGAAGTATGGATCTTACTTAATTTTTCTGCAAATGGATAAACAGTTTTGGCAGCACCATTTGGTAAAGAGACTCTCTCTTCCCCATTAAATGGATTTTAGCCATTTCTCACAGATCAGTTGATCTTAGGCTGATGGATCTGTTTCTGGGTTCTCAATTCTATTCCACTGGTCTATGTGTCTGTTGTACCAATACCAGACTGTTTTGACTACTGTGGCTCTATAGTAGGTTTTGAGATCTGGGAGTGTGAGACCTCCTACTTCCTTCTCCTTCAGTAGTGCTTTACTTACATGAGGTCTCTTTCCTTTCCATATAAAATTAGTAATTGGTTTTCTGATACCCTTAAGGAATGTTGATGGGATCTGGATTGGGATTGCATTGAATGTATAGATTGATTTGGGTAATATTGACATTTTCACAATATTCAATCTGCTATCCATGAGCATGGTATGTTCTTATATTTATACAGATCTCTTTTTTTAATTATTATTTTATTGTGATTTGAGTGCACGTTTACAGAGCAAATTCATCTTCTGTATAGCAGTTCACACACACTTTGTCTCATGGCATTAACTGTAGTCTTCCACAATAGAGAAGCTCTTCTCCCATTTCCTCCTCATAGTCACCTCCTCCCTGTGTTCTTCCCTCCCATGCACTCCTGCCCCCCCAAGCTGTCTCCCTGTGCAAACACTGCTTTTCTGATCT